CTTATATCGCCTGCAGTGATATTGGTTTCATCTTCGAATTTATTTTGATTTTGGAGTACAATATTTGTATTTCTATGGCGATTGGTTCTTGTTGCCCATTTTAGTAGAGCCTTTGCTACTAGCGCTGTTACCCGTAGAGCTGTGTCAAACTTTGAAAAACGCGATAGGCCCAGGGCAGACTTCACGCGATTTGGTCGTCGCGACTGAATCGCGACGAGATGTTACAACATCATTCCATGCCGATGAACTTGCATTCGGTTGTGATACTTTTCCAGCCCGAAATTTTTGAATGTGAAATGAAAATGAATGGAAATTTTGGCGATTAGATCGCGACGATTAAGTCGCGTGAAGTCTGACCGGGGCCATAGATCTATAAAATGCTCTCTTTTTGGCATTTTACTCGTATCTTCCAAAGCAGCCGTAATGACTACGCTAGGCTCCTCAGTTTCATAATTAGCGATAGTATCAATAGATTTGATTGGCCACTCATCTGCGGGTTTTTGAAGCCAGAGAGGTCCTCTGACCCAAGCATGGTTGGTTATTTCCGCGACAGTTAGCCCTCTGGTTCCTGCGTCAGCAGGATTATGATCAGTGGCGACGTAAAAGAAGTTTGTTGATATGCCAAGAGAGTCTAGTCGTTTCTTGATGATCATGATCTTTTCTCGCTGATTGCTAACGAATACGGGTAGTTTTTTTTTTGTTGATTTGACCCAGAATAGGGCAATCTCGCTATCGGAAACTATATGCAGTTCCGTGATACTCTGTGGAGTTGATGAGATGATGCTGTTTCCCAGTCTCGCCGCTATGAGTATTCCGAGTAATTCTAACCTCGGAATCGTTTGTCTACATTTTTTAGGTGTAAGCTTAGTTTTGCCGCTGATTAATGTAGACACTGTATTTGAAGGCAGTGTAATATAGGCGCATGACGCAATTGCTTCCGTGCTGGCGTCCGCGAAAACCCATAGACGTCTTTTCTGTTTTGGGTATGCTGAAGCATCTGGGTATAGATATTTTGGCCTGATCGACTTCGCTGCAGAGTTTCAGCCATTGCAAGCATGTTTTGTGAGGTAGTGGAGTCTTCCAGTCTATGTTCGTGTTGAAGATTTCACGCATCATAGTTTTCAGCCTAACGAGCAGAGGTCCGGTAAGTCCTATAGGATCGGATATCGAGTTTATCTGACTTACGACGTCCCGTTTTGTTATCTGAACTTTCTGAGGAAACTTTGTTTCGACTGTGAAACTATCAGTAACGGCGTCAAAGTTTACTCCGAGTAACTTTATAGCTGTGTTGTTCAGCCTGTCGCGAGCTGGGATCTTCTCATTCACTTCATGAGAATTGGAGATATACTCGCGTAAATTCATGCCGATCTTGTTAAATAAGGATTTCGACGCTGTGTACTTGTTGTAAGCTTGTTCCACTGTTTCTGCTTGCAGTAAAATGTTATCCACGTATAGGTTATTGGAGATTTCTCTCGCTAAATCCGTATCTTGCTGCGATAAGTAGGCGGTTATAGCCATGTTTAGAATGCTAGGTGACGCTGTAATGCCGAATGGTAATCTTTTAAATCGAAATTCCACGATGCTGTCCTTGGTAGGTGGATGATTAGTGTTTTTAAGCCACAAAAATCGGCAGAGATCCTTGTGCGCGTCTACTAGGCGGATTGCGTAAACGCGGCTTCAATATCACACAGTAGAATGATATTTTTGAACCGTGTAGACACGAGAATGTCATGGATTTTCTTGACTGAATGATGATTCTCCTTTATGAATGGCATTATTGAGAGAGAGAGTTGTCCCTTTTTACTAGATGATACATCAAATACGATTCTCAGTGGAACATTTTTGTGAGGTTTCCACACTCCAGAATGCGTCATATAGTAAATTCTTGCGGCATTCGGTTCGGGCATGCGGAATTCTTCTATTATTCCTTCTGCTAAGTATCTCTGTATGATCTCGCAGTACCACTGTTTTTGGTTTGGATTACTTTGTAGTAATCTTTGAGTTGACTGCAATCGTATTATTGCTACCGTGTAGCTGTTTTCAAGAGTTGTAACGCTTTCCTTCAACGGAAATGGAGCGGTTATGACACTATTTTCAAAAGAAATACTTTTTGCATAGTTTTCGAAGTATTTCTGCACTTTTTCGTCTGTTTGGCAGTCTTCTGGTGCAATGCCAAGGCCATCGAGCTCAAACATTTTTTTTGCAAAATTTCCTCTTCCGTGTGCGTGTGTATTGCAGTAAGACTGTGAGACAATGATTCAGAGTTGCCTTGTTTAGTAATGCCGCGACCATAAATTGTCGGCCCAGAAATGGTTTTCGCAATGTGAAATCCGCTAGGAGTTTTTATGCCATGTGCAGGGTCAGTTACTAGTTCGTGGTAGTAGTCAAGACCCACAAGTACATGCGGAGTTTGGAGCTCGCCTCGAATTTTTGAGTTCGCCAAGCAAATGCTATTTGATTTCAGGAATTCCACATCGCTAGGATCGAGTTTGACCGAAGGAAAGCCGTTTGTGATTACAGGTTTTGTTTGAACTGTCATACTCACTTCTTCTCCGTATGCTGTTCCCAGTTTTATTGGAACTGTGTGGCTTTGGAAACATTCTATATGACCGCCAATGCCGGACATAGCGCAGAGCTCAGTGGTTTGTTTTTTAAGACCAAGACGATCGGCGAGGCCTTCCTGGATGACGGTTTTTTTGCGCTCCAGAGTCGAAGAAGAGAACCTTTTCATAAATTTGTTTATCGGCATTCCATATGTTACCTTCAGCTGTCATCAATATCAGTTGTTTATTCGCAGCGCTGTTATCGACGATATCTTTGCTGTTATTTTGCGTTTCTGCGAACATTTGTGTGTTTGGTTAGTTCACTTTCTGTTTTTCGAAACGTTTGTAGTTGTTTCTTTGGTCTGAGTGTCGATTTCTATCGTTTCTATGGTTGTTTTGATTTTGATTCGCATTTCTGGGCCTGCTATCGTACGTAGGGTTGATGCGAGGCTCATCTTTCTTATAGCATAAACTAACGTGGTGTTTTTGGCCGCATAGGCCACAGTCTGTGTTTTGGCAATCGAAACTAGTATGGATGGGAGAGCAACATTTCCAGCAACGATTTTGCTCTCTCAAAATTTTTCGACGAGTATTCTGCTCAGTGACTGTCCGACAGTAAAGGGATGGGTGATTGCCCTTCTGGCAGAATACACACCCTCCGTCTTGATTGGGTCGTGGATTGATAGGTCTTGTTTTTGATTGAGTGACCTTATTAGTGGTCTGGTGACCTAATCTGTTTTCTACGTATGCTTTGGCGTCTACTTCTGTTTTGAGTATGCCCATGAGGTCATCTATTGTTTGCTTTTCATGTGACCGACTGGCTATCAAGACTGATCGGACAATGTCTTGGGGGAATTTAGACAGAATTGTTTCTCCCCACATGGGATCGCAAGTGTTACTCACGTTGTAGCCTGCGGAAATCATCTGATTGGTTAACATTCGGATTTGAGAGAAAGTGTGGATGCAGGATTCTGGTGTATTTCCTGCCGCTCTCATATTGACGAGTTTTTGTACAATTTGCGATCTGTTCGTAGGGTGATTGCAGAAAGTTTCCTTGAGGGTTTTTATGAGCCACTCATAGTTTTCTGGAACGAGTTTGATTCCTTTGATGGCTGTGTGTGCTTTACCCTTTAAGCATTCCATCAAATGGAGGATTTTCTCCATTACATCGATTTCTTGGTTATTGTGGACTAGAGTTTCGAATACGGACCAGAATTCTGAAAAACCTTCTGGGTCACCGTAAAACTTTGGTAACGAAATTTGTGGAGGTTTTATTAGTTTGTTTGTCCTCCTAACTGCAAACTCGAGATTTGGGTCTGTTACTGAGGGTTGTGATGAGCTTGGACTCGCCTCATTTTGAAGACTAGGCTGGGATGAGACTGGATTTGTTTCGTCCTGAATACCATTTTGTTCTAGATCTTCATGGTGTACGCCTTCAGCACTGTGTTCTCCGCTGTCTAGGCCTTCATCTCTCTGCACTCTGATGGCAGAGTATCCCAATGTTATCTCCATATTTTCTCTAATGCTTTTGGACTCGTCTAGTCATGCTGTAATTACATAGACCAAGTCGTTAGCTTCAGCGATAGCGCCTTGCAGCTTAGATTCTTCTTCTATCTGCTCAATCTCTATCATTATCTCTTTTCTATCTGTTTTGCTTTTACATTTCTTGTATTCTTCGCGAATTTCGTTGTAAAGCGTCTGAAGGCTCTCTCTCGCTTCCTTCAGCTGTTTGATGCTACTCTGCAAGAGCGCAATCGTCGACCTGCATTTCTGGTAGTTTTCTTCGTCTACCGTAGGATAATTTACTGCATTGCTGTACTCGCTGTACCTTGACACTAGTGTTTTCAAGGTGTTTGCGCTAAGAATGATCGGCGTTTTGTGGAAGTGAAGCGCCATTTTGATCTAAACTAGCGATTTATGTTCAAGTTGTCCGCTTTCAACTGAATTGCAGCGGTCTGTCAGATTTATTTTGCTGACAACACCCGATTTGTTATGTGGGTGACTTCTTCCCTTTTTTGTTTCTTTTCGGGATGAAGATTTACGGCTTTTATTGTGCCGAGTGGTTGCTTAGCAGCTAGTCTCGACTCCTGGCTATCACAGATGTCACTCTGAGATGCGGGAGTAAGTGGCAACTTTGGCCGATGCACCAAGCTATATCGGGTACTAGAGACTCTTGGGCGGTTTTGCCCGTAACGAGAATACAAGTACAAAAGACGGTGGTTCAGGATTTATTAATGAGTTAACAAGAGTGCAGCGAGTATGCGAGCAGGAGAACGATACCTTTCTGTTCCAAGGTAAAAATGCAAGTCACGAGAGGGGAGTAAGTTCGGCCACGTCTATCTCGGCGTGACCTAAGGTCGCGGCGGGGCACAATCATCGGCACGATGATAAAAAGTAAGCAATGACAGGTATAGAGTCATAGAACTAAAACCAAATTGAAGATGAAACTGTGCTTACCAGTGACTTCTGCAAATGGTGGATGAATGGCTTTCAAAAAAGTAATAAAGTCTTCAGCATTGACACCTCTTAATAGATATATCCCATCTTCCTGATACACGGTTGAAGGCAACGTTGTCACATCGATCTCTAAGTGAGACGAATAGGGCTGGGCGCGAAAACGATAACCACAGTTAGTGACAGTGGGTTGCAAATTTAAGAAAAATTTCAAGTTCATATAAATCTGCCCAATATAATTACGGAAAGAGACGGTTGCGTTGCAGGGGAAGCCAAAGGGCCGTCGCCTTGAGCAAAGGATGTCATCGAAGAGCAGGTATCGGTATCCGCTACGCATTTGGCAAATTACGTACCCTTTGTTTCACCAGGAATGTCGGGCGGAAGGCGGGGCTTGGATCGCTAATCAACTTTTGCGAGAAATGCTATCTATTAATTTTCTGGGACTGATGAGCGATAGAAGCCTCGCCTTCGATCAGGGCCCGGCACGAGGTGGGCAAATGACAAACTGGAAATCGTTTTTGGTGGAAAAAGCAAGGGGGAAATCGTTTTTGCAGGGTCCGGGGCGGAGCCCCGGAAGAAGATTCCAAGTGCAAGCAAAAGAAGGTCTAATCATGCTTATTACCTCATACATCCGATTCACTGAGAAGTAGTTTTCATAATCCTCAACGCACAGTAGAGTTCGCGCGCGTTACGCCGCGCCCCCGCATGCGCGACGTCGCATAAGCGATGCCGTTGAATAGCATAATTACATGATCAGTTCTCATTGCAGGCGTAACGATATAGCACCAAATTATGTGAGCGAACGAAGAGAGCCTAGTAGAAACAAAGTATGAAAATTAAAAAGTTATGTGAATGGAGGAGTAATAAGCATTTTTTCCAAAAATTTTGCAAAACTGGTAAATGAAAATGTGAATTCAAATGGCTCGTTTGCAGCGCACAGATGACCATACGGTATGGAACTTGGTAGATACATGAACACAGGCCTGCAAGGCTTAACTTAGAAGTTTCATTGAAAAATTATGTGACTGAAGGTTGGGGCGAGCTTTTTTCTGAAAATTTCCCCCTATCAAGAAAATGGAAAAATGGCTCGTTTGCAGCGCAGAGTAAATGAAATTGTGCGAGCTTGGGGTGTATACGCGCAGTAGGACTAAGGAAGAATGTATGAAAAATTATGAAAAACTTATGTGAATAAAGAGCGTGCTAAATTTTTTTCCAAATTAGGTGGGCAATTGCCCACCTAATGCCCACTTAGGTGGGCAAAACTTTCAATTCACATAATTTTCAAAATATTTACATAAATCTGTTGTACACCTAGATTTTACTACATGGTGAAATTTTGGTTCCGAAACTCCTCGTCCTGTTCTTGTTAGAGCTCAAAATCGCATCAGCAGCCTAGCTAAGCTATAGCTTTCTAAGATGGAAAGCGCGCCCCAGTCAATCGATACGCGCGGGAACGGCGTCTCTCATTCCTATGACTGCATTACTTTGACATTTTCTCATTCCTTCATCATTTTTCTTGCTTACTTTTCTTCCTGTTTTCTTTATCTTGATACGGCTGAGGAGTAATTTGAGGAATTTGAGCAATTTGGGCGCTTTTGAGCCCTTTTAAGCGAAGTGTGGCCGGTACTCTCGTTGCATAAGCACAAAGCGTCATTTTTGGGCTCAAGGGGGTATTCGTAAAAAATATTAGGATCAAAGGGAAATTCATTTTGGAAAACCCCGTTTGCACACCTCGTGCCGGGCCCTGCCTTCGATCCGCCACTCGCAGCGAAGCAAACTGTATACAGCCTGCATGATTTTCCGCGGGGACCTATAACGAAGGCGGTAGCTCTCCACAAGGGATCCAATTTGGAATGTCTAGTTGAGCCAACCCCTGTCGCATGGGCAATTCATATCTAGGCCTAATTCAGAATCAGATTTTTCGTGCGATCATTGGGTGTACAGTTGCCTGGAAGCCGCCTTCAAAAGCGCAAGCACTGCACGGATTTGGCAACGATCCAAAAAATTAAAAATTAAAAATCAAGTTACATTACACTTGTTAGATCCTCAATTTTGAGCTTTCCACTGACATGCGAAGCCTCGGGAAATATCTTTCCGTTCCAAAATAAAGCATAAAATAGTTTCCAAAATTAGCTGATACATATCCTTTGTTCCACCAGGAATATGGCGGAAGGCTGGCTTGGATCGTCAATCAACTTTCACAAGCGTGCTCTCCAATCATTTCCTGGGATTGATTAACAAGAGAAGACCTGCCTTCCACCCGTCACTCGCAGTGAAACAAAGGTCATGCCGGATTGCAAGACGTTCCGCGGGGACCTAAAAGGCGGTAGCTCCCCATAAAAAATCCAGTTTGGAAAGTCTAATCGAGCCAACCGTCCTGCCGCTTGAAAAGTTCACAGCTATGCCTAATCCAGAATCAGACTCTCGTGCGATCATTGAGTGCACAGTTGCCTGGAAACCGCCTTCAAAAGCGCAAGCACTGCGAGGACTTGGCAACGATCCAAAAATTGTGGGTTTACGCGTATAGTAAGTTTCAACTTTGTTTAAACGGAAATTGGACCGGCGGAGTCCGCACCGCGACCGTTCGCGCCGTTGTACCGTCTACGTATAGGGCATAACGCCACCATCGGCCGTGGGTACCCAGGGGAAGAGGCAGCGCGCGCGACGCGAGCGAAGGAGATTGTACTCCGAGCGCGGATGCTTGCCTTGTTCTTAAACTCATGACGTTGATTCATCCCGTGTTCTCTTGTTAGGCATTAGATTCCGTACCTGTATCGATTTCTAAACATTTCAAATGGTGGCGCTGTTCGAATGAAGAATGATCAAGCAGAGACGGTGAAGCGCATCTTTTGCTCATGCACAGCAAAAAATTGTCATCTATTCCGAGTTGAGGAGACTCGAGCACAGTATGATGTGAAAATGTTATTGTTCTTTACCCCATGGTTGGTTTACTACTAGAAATTAGATGAGAAACAAGTACAAATTTGTTAAACAACGTGCTCAACGTTCTGAAGTCTCCTAATCTCAGAATTGGCATATAATCAGAAAGACAAATTCAAGTCACAGTCGTAGAAAGCCGAATTAGCCTTTTCCATTATCGATTTGATTGAAAAGAAGTTTTAGCTTGCCTATGCTTCTCATTTCGCGTGAAACATGGAAAACAAGATATTTCAACATGCAGTTGAGTACGAAATGAAGTTCATCAGATACACAAGAGAAGCCTCTGTACAAATCATCTAAAAAAAGAACGATATTCAACCCTAGCCACAGATACAGCGACGCTCGGGTACTAATTTCGCTGCCCGCGTCACGCTTTCGCAGCCTCATCCCATGGGTGTTCACTATACTTTGGACTGAATCGAATAAATATTCGAGTATTCGAATAAAGTATTCGAATAAATTTTATTCGAAATTCGATTATTCGAAAATTTCGAAATATCGAATATATCCGATATTCGCTCATTCGAAAATTGTCAATTTCGAATTTATTCGATTATTCGGTTATTCGAAAAATTTGATTTCCGAAAATATTCAAACATTCGAATATTTATTTTCAGAAGTTATTCGATTATTCGACAATTTCGTATAATCAAATAACTACATGACAGGTCACAGTTTTGACTACTATACCAGCAAACATCGTTTGTTGTCCAAGTTGTCCACTGCATGGAGTCCTTCATTGTGCTAATTCGATCAAAATTTGTTTGAATATTCGACATAATCAATGCAAAATATTCGTTTATTCGGATTTATTCAAATACAGAGTGTCCAAAAAAGATGTGCACACTGTTTGATCGTTAATAACTCTCTTGTTTTCATGTCTTTTACTGAGCTTGATATACCATTCTCTAGAGCGAGGTTTCCTTAGATTTACAGTATGGAGCGAATCACCAGTCACTCCTCATTAAATCTGAAAATATGTGTAGCAAGGTTTTCAGGCGTGTTGACTTCGTCACATGACTTTTCACCAGTTTTTCAAGCTTTCTTGATGGCGTATTTACATTTTTGAGGAACATTGGAAAGACAGTTGTCAGCCTAATTTTAAAATAACTTATGAAAAAAGCACTATGAAGCGCAAATTTCATATTTAGAATCAGCGACCACGATTAGCCCATTTCAAAAGTTTCTGGCTTGTTTGGCTTTCTTTTAGAGGCAAAATACCGGCAAAATACCGCTTTTGATGGCTTAAAATCATCCTCGAGGTTTCCATAGTGTTTCAGAGTAATGAAGAGCGATCGATGATTTATTCCACGCGGCAAATCTAAGTTGAACCTCGCTCTACCGAATGGTACCTTAAGCTCGACAAAAGACATGAACGCAGGAGAGTTATTAACGATCAAACAGTGTGCACATCTTTTTGGGACACCCTGTATATTCTAGTATTCGGATTTTTTTTTCAAGTCGAATATAATCGATGTTCGATTACTCGACATTTTTGTTTTTCGAAAATATTTGGTATTCGAAATATTGGACATTTCTTGTTTCTGAAAATATTCGGAAATCGATTATTCGATATTTTTGATTTTCGAATACATTCGGTTATTCGATTATTCGAAAAAATTCTCGAATATTCCAAAGTATAGTACCCACGACCGATGGTGGCTGATATGCCCTATATCTTCATTCTAATCTATCTCGCTGAGCCAGTGGCGGTGCGGACGCGCTGCTCCATGTGGCATGTTCGCCTACTCCGATTTGGAGCGGACTATAGGCGGCCTTCAAAGCAAAGGTGTGATAGGTAGGTTAATCGAAATTAGAGAAAAGCGGGCGTCCCATACTCGTGAAATAAGGGTAATTCAATGAAAAATCTTGACAAACCTTGCGGGGAAGTACTATTTGCATTCTCAACATCTTCAGTACACAAAGCTGGATCATTCAGAGTAGTTCTAAAATTAACTCTTATAGTTACGAATTCCGTGATATGTAAAAATATCTAACAATAAGTTTTTACTCACTGTGAGCTCAAAACATCAAATTCGCTACATGGAGATCTGTATGAGGTAGAAACGGGAGTGTATTCGCGCGGCGGCACCATTCGCTCCAACAATGTTGCAAATCTTCGTGAATTGAACAAAAGATACTGAATGCAGAATCAGTCATACTTCCAAGCAGAAGCTGCTAAGGCCTCAGACAGAGTTCACGCGATTTGGTCGTCTCGATTTAACCCCTACAAGACAATTGTTACGAGTTCATTGCATGCATTTCGGTTGTGATACTTTTCCAGCTCGAAATTGAAGAAAGTAGAATGAAAATGGACGAAAATCGCGGCGATTAAATTGCGGCCTCTGTCCGAGGCCTAACTGTTACGAACTTCTCGAATGACGTATACACGAGTATCGCTGTTCTCGAAGGTGATGCAAGCGTTTGTCAGTTCAGAAGGCTTTGTGAAATCATGCTCAAACATCGCGACATCTCTAAAATGGAAGGAGAAAAAGTGAGTTGCCGTTCGCCGAAAACGCAACCTGCAGCCTGAGACATCTTGCAGTCCAATAGTGATTTTGATAGGGTTCCCCAATTCAGTACGAGGAACTGCAATAGCGGTCGATCGCTGTTTACTGTGGAAAGTGCTTACAACCTATAAAGAAGTAGAAAACTAAGAGACATTGAACATTCAAATGAAAATAACGCTTTGAGAAAATCGTAACGCCCTGGTCTTCAGACAAACCTTGCTGATTCCTGGGATATGAACAGTGACAACAGCTGTGCACTGCCATGAACTGCCTTCTACGCCACGATTGCATGATAAGATGATATTCGCATGTTCCTTATCGTCTTTGACTTCAATCTCCCTCAAAGAGCGTGATTATCATTTGGTGCATCATAGTTCACGCGATTTTATTGCCTCACGATTCTCCTAAGGCCCCGGTCAGACTTCACGCGACTTAATCGTCGCGATCTAATCGCCAAGATTTCCATTCATTTTCATTTCACATTCAAAAATTTCGGGCTGGAAAAGTATCACAACCGAATGCAAGTTGATCGGCATGGAATGATGTAACAGTTGTCTCGTCGCGACTCAGTCGCGACGATCAAATCGCGTGAAGTCTGCCCGGGGCCTAACAATGCAATCGTTACGATCCTAATCCACGACGACCCTCTTGTATTTCGCTTGTGGTAGCTTTCCGAACGACTAGTCGTGAGTGACTATCGCAACCGAGATGTAAGGTGATAACGGGCAGTGGATTCGCAACAGAGTCAAGCTTGTGATGCGACTGTCGCAATGGGGGGTCGTAAAGAGGGTATCTAAGGTGGGGGGGGGGGTCGCAAGAGGAGGTAGTTGAGCTAAAACACACTAAGCTTGAGACAGAATCAAAAAGCAGATAATTAGTTATGTTCTTCAAAATAAATCTGTAAAAAAGTAGAAATCAGAATAAAAAAGATAAGAAATCTGTAGAAAACCTCAAAAAAACAAAGAGCTTAAAACACTTTTGAAGGTTGTATGATTCGATAAAAATGCTAAATTTACCGATTGTCCTAGAAATCCTACTTCTGAACCCTTCCTGAAGTCTCACACACTCGACAAAAGCGAATATCTTTACCAGCTGTGACCGTCATGAATTTCTAAATCCTTTTGCAACGTTTTTCACGGATCCATATAATTAATCTGTACTTTGGAGATGCTCTGCTATATTCAGTGCAAAATTTGGTGTTATTTTGTCAACTCTGGGTCTCTTATGATTTTATGTATGGTAGCAAAAATGAGGAAGGGGGGGGGGGATCGTATCTGCGCCTCATCTAAATTTCTCCGGCGCTATTGAAGCTTGTTAGCTGCAACTTGCTGTAACACAAAGCCATCTCTCTTTTTTTATCGTAAGAATTTCAGGCTGTTTCATAACTTGGACTCTGTACCTTCGTGTCGTGCGGTCGGTCTCAACTGTCTCTCTCGACAATGCCTGCCACTAGGACTAAATCGAAGACTTCCAAGAAAGTTTCCCAGTCCCAGCCCGTTATTACTGCTGACTATTCTCAAGCTACCCTCCCGTCGTCGCCCATCGGTAAAGAAGAGGTAATTAGTCGGCTTTATGCAGTCCTATCTGATAAGGCCCCAGAGGCTCTCCCTTTATTGGATCAATTGATCCAAATTTTGACACATGGTCCACGAACTATCGTGGAGACTGAAAAAAGGAAGAGATCCCTTGTCATTTTTGGGGTGCGTGAAGCCGACCCTGACCTTGAGCCCTCTAAAAGGGCAGTTAGTAGGGCAGTTTCCATTGACCCAGGAGGAACGATCGCGAGATCAGGAGCTCAGAAAGCGAGCACACGAAATCAATTCTGGACAGTACAACGGTGAAAAGGTATACGTAGTTTATAGAAATGAACTTGTAAAAGCGGCCGATATCCTTAATATAAAATCTGCGCGTGCAAAAAACTAAGTAATGATCCGGATCAATGGAAATCTTTTTGTTTATTGTTCAATAGTAGGAGTCTTTCAAATAAGCTGCTAGAATTCCATCATTTGCTTTCGACCAAGAAACCCCTTTTGGTTTTTGTTACTGAAACGTGGCTAACTCCAAAGATCTCCGATAATGAAATTATTTCCGAGTTACCGTATTCTATTGTAAGAAAAGATCGGATAGGAAGAAAAGGGGGTGGTGTATGTGTACTGATACATGATGAAATATTGTATGAGAACATTTCTATTGACTCCTCACCCTCAGCCGATGTATTAGCATTTGATGCATATCTCTACCATTTCGAGAAACACCGCTTCATCTTGATCTATCGCCCACCCAATATATCTCGCATTGAAGATGATGATTTGATAGCCCTGTTGTCTAATCTTGCTGCCAATACCTATAAAACTACAATTTTGGGCGATTTCAACTTGACCGATGTGAACTGGAGTGATAGAAAGGCTAGGTTGCTTTCTTCTAAGCGATATATCGAGCTTTTTTATTCTCTTGAGATGACCCAGCTTGTGAACACCCCCACTAGGGAAGGATCGATATTGGACATCATTCTGACGTCATCTGACACTGTGAACTTTGTTGGCACGACTCCCCCGCTTGGTTTTTCAGACTATGCGATGGTTGAATTTTCTATTGATAGATCATGCACAGTTAAGTCGGATGACCACATTCGCGATTTCAAAGCTGCAAACTTTGGGGAGATAAATGCTCAGCTCATGTCTGTTGATTGGTTTCAATTGTTTGAAAACTATTCCGATATTGATGATGTTTATTCTCGTTTTGTAGCACTATTATCTGAACTGATTGAATCCTACGTTCCCTTTAGAAAGGGTAAAGATGATAAACCCGCATATCCTAGACACATACAAAATCTTCTAGAGCAAAAGAAAAGGCTTTTTCATGAAACTACACGGCCACTGCGATTTGTTCAATATAACCTAGTGTGTCATAACTTGAACCGTCATTTGCGTCGTTTTTTGAATTATAAGCAGCGCAAAATGACAGCGTTCAACATGCGAGAGCTTTTTGGCTTTATTAAACGCCGAGTAGCTACTTCAAGAATTGCAACTACTCTCAAAGATGAAAATGATCAAGTTCTTCTCTCGAATTCTGATAAAACAGAAGCTTTCGCCAATTTTTTTGTTAAGTCCTTTACTGAAACTAGATTAGAACATTCTGCACTGGAATCACAAACTGAGGAAACTTTAGTTATTCCTGTGATTACACATGAGGCGGTGTATAAATTACTGAAGACTACCAAGGCATCACTGTCTCTGACGTCAGAAAACCAGCCTTTTTCTATAAAAACTGTGCCAGAGCACTTAGTGCTCCTCTAGCGCATATATTCAACATCTCCCTTATGACAGGCGCAGTACCAAGATTATGGAAAAAGGCTGTGGTCGTCCCTATACCTAAACGTACTAGCGCAACCAGAGTTTCAGAATTCAGACCCATCAGTATTTTACCAACTCCATGTAAGATAATGGAAAGAATTCTTGCTCCCTTGATTTTAAATTGGTGCATGAAATTAAATTACTTCCCGGATGAGCAGCACGGATTTATCCCTGGATCTTCTACGACTACTCAACTAGTAAGGTGCTGCCAAGATTGGATCAATGCGCTAAGCAACGGTAAATCTGTTGAAGTCATATAATTAAATCTGAACTAAAGCCTTTGATTCTGTTAATCACTTGGGTCTTTTGGCTAAACTCGCAAGTATTGGTATTAGAGAAGACCTTTTGGCCTGGTTTGAATCTTATCTTTCGAATCGGTGTTTTTCTGTCTTTTTCCAGGGACGTAGATCCTCGGAAATGTGTGCCCCCTCGGGTGTACCTCAGGGTAGTGCCCTGTCTCCGTTGCTCTTTAATATATACACTATGGAACTGCCTAGGCTGCTGAAATTTGATACTCGGATCAGTGTGGCAGCGTATGCTGACGATTTGAGAATTTATGCTTGTTATGAAGCAGATGAGCGGGAAGTATTTGAAAAATTGAAGCTATCTGTGCATCATATGCTAAGTTGGTGTGAGAGTTGGGGGTTGAGAGTGAACTTAGCGAAGTGCCAAATACTGAGATTAGGAAAGAGGACTGCTGAATTTGACTACGTACTCCCCTTGAAAAATCAACAAAAGGTTCGGGATTTAGGCATCATAATAGAATCTCCTTATGGATACTCGACCCACATTGATACAGTAGTTGCTAAGGCTACGCGTACCATGTACTCCTTGTTTATGTTCAATCTTTTGACAAATCAGTCTGGGTGAGACTGTATAAAGCGTACATTCTACCCATTCTGTAGTACTGTAGTCCAGTTTGGAACCCTAGTTACAAAAAAGACATCATTAAACTCGAGAAAGTACAACGTACATCCACTAGAATCTTATTCTACCGCTTGTTCCCAAACAAGGAGTACCCTCAAGCTCTTCCTCATTACAAACATAGGTTGTCCATTCTTGGCCTCAAAACTCTGTATCACAGACGTATTCTGGCTGATATACTATTAGCTCATAAAATTATACGGCAGGAGGTGCGTTCAAAACTCTCCGATTTCTGGACGCTGCGTCCTTCCCCTAACCGGAGATCAAGTTTTAACGTTTTTACTTGTAGGTGCAAGGGATGGCGTAGACAACTGATGCAGAATTCGTTTGCTAGCCGTGTATCACGACTAATCAATCGTCTTCCTGTCGATGCTCTCTGTCAGGATTCGGTCAAATTTAAACAATTTTTACTTAACAACGATATTTTTGACTTGCTTGGAATAGAAGATTTAGATTGAATTCCTTTTGGCAAGACGCGAGTACCGATATTTTTTAGGCGCTTTGGTTTTCTCCTTTCTTGATCAGCTTGCACTGGGAAATAGTTAGCATGTCTTTAATTTTTTTTTAATGCCCAGAGTTTAATTATGTCGGTAAGCCTGGTTCGACAGGGTTTCAGTCGGTATACCTGTCAATCCGAAGGTTCCAGGCATGCCTTCCGGTGTTAGGGCGCACCGATGTACACTCTGCCGACTGGTGTGCACTATCACATAGCTAATATGCTACTCCACACTCAGTACTCTGATCTATTAGAGGAAAAGCTGCCTATGATTACAATCAACACTTCCTATGCGGTAGATTAGCGTCAGTGTTTGTTAATGTTACTAAAAGTTTAGTTGAGTTGATCCGCTAACTCATGATGATGATTGTAGCGCACGTCATGTGCATGAATAAATAAATAAATAAACTTCCCCGATGAGGTACAAAATTTCAAGCTCAAAAATCCCACTTTTTGCTTTTTAGGATCGCATCTAAATTTGCAAGAGTCGCATCTAGATTTTTTTTTCGAGCTTACTGTAAGGTATAGTCCCCTCCACAATTGCTGCTACCCTTGGTCTGGT